CATTTCTTTGTGTTAGGAACATTCCAATTCCACTCTTTTAGTTATTTTAAAGTACATCCTAACTTATTGCTGATTATAGTCAATTTGTTGTGCTATCAAATATTGTTCATTCTATCTAACTATATTTTTATACCCATTAACCATCCCCACTTTAGCCCTCCCCTCCCTGCTATCCTTCCCAGCCTCTGGTAGCCATCATTATACTCTCTGTTTCCCTGAGATCAATTGTTTTTAATATTTAGCTCTTACATATGAGTGAGAACATGCAAGATTTGTCTTTCTGGGCTTAGCTCATTTCACTTAGCAACATGTTCTCCAGATCCATCCATGTTGTTGAAAATGGCAGTATTTCATTCTTTTTGTGGCTATACAATATTCCATTGTGCATATCCTGCCACAATTTCTTTATCCATTCATCCACTGATGAACACTTAGGTTGATTCCATTATCTTGGCTATTGTGAATAGTGCTACAATAAACATGGGAGTGCAGATATCTTTTCGATATACTGAATATCCATCCTTTGGAGATATACCCAGCAGTGGGATTGCTGGGTCATATGGTAGTTCTATTTTTAGTTTTTTGAGGAATCTCCATACTGTTTTCCATAGTGGTTGTGCTAATTTACATTCCCACCAACAGTGTACGAGTAACCCATAATTTTATAGATGAGGAAACTGAAGCCAAATGCATAAAATGTCTTGCCTAAGCACATGTCTGTGACTTGTCGTTTGATATTGCTTTTTCCACTACACATGTATCTTTTATGTTGGCCTTAAATACACGACGAGACTCAAGCAACTTGCTTGGCAGAACAGAAAACATTTCCAAATACCACAAAATCAGCTTTTAACAATCAAATGTGACAGACCACTAGTCTCAGGAGGCAATTTCCATATTTTGTATTAATTTATATATTTTGAAAATTATAATTCAATAGTCAAATTTTCTTTCCTTTTTTATGGTAACAAAAAATAGAACAAAAGTCATGATTCAAACTATTTGTAGAATTCATAATCCTTAAATTTGAAAAAGACCTTAGTAAGTCATCAAGGTCAGAATTTTGCCACTAAGTGCTAAAGAATAAGGCTAGACTACTTAAAAGTAATTTTGTGAAAACTCATCACTTATTCAACAATATTTTTATGCAGCCTTGCTGCAGGGAGAAATTAATGTCAAAATAATTTTCTGTAATTTTAAATTCACCAAATATTCACTCTTTGAGCAACTAAACCATTTTAAGTTGCCTCATAGATCTAAGCTGGGTTGCTTGCTATGAACAACCAACACATGTAAAAGTTATTCACTGTAGTGACTATGCATCATTTCTTGATAAGATCATAGATTATATCAAAATTAAGTCAGAACTTCCCAAATAAAAATGTCAAAACAAAGGTTTGCCTTAGCCTCTCTTGACTAAAGATTTTTAATCACTCTACAAAATTATGGAATCCATTTGAGACATGAATTGTGTGTAGCTTCTCAGTTAAATTACAGTAACAAGCAAAATGTCTCAAGACCCAAAGACATGAAAAAATGTCCTACCTGAAGATAAATAATTTTTATATTATACTCCAATATTAATAATTTATCAAATGACATCACTGATGGTTTCAATAATTTCTACCTGAAAAATATACTAAGAATATCATGGCAAAAATATGTTGAAAGCATGTGAACTTCACTAGAATCTATGGAGTTTCATATTTACTTTTAAATCACTTGAATGAAGAAATTAACATTAACAAAATATTTTTCTTAACAAAAAGTATGTCTTCAATTTTTATATCTTCTTTGTCCTACATATGTTGCTAACCAAGTTGGTGATACTTATCAGTGTACATACCAACTAGTAAAAAACAAACCTCTAAAGCTCACTTATCTTTCAAAGTCTTGCTCAAATGCCATGTGCACCAAAAGCCTCACTGATTCCACCAGACAGATATGATCAGAAACCTCCAAATTTCCTAGAACTTCATCCATGGCCTCTTTAGAACTGAACACTTTCTATCTTACAATAAATTAGCTAGAACCAGTCTCATCTGCTGAACACAAGGTCCTAAATGCCTGACCTCACCTGGTAGATAAGGACGTCTAGAGCTCTGCCCAAGAATCAGGAGCAGTGCTATAAATGGAAGCTGATGCAGATGGCTTACAGCAAGAGCAAAGGGGAACCAGCCAACAACTGGTGAGGAATAAAGGAGAACTAATTGGTATCAAGGGAAGAAGGACTTAGGACTTGAGAAAATGTCTGAAGGGGTGGCCCAAAACAAAAATAGGATTCGCAGTGAAAGGTTGACAAAAGAAAACAGATGATAAACAGGAAGGTTAGCATGGCAGAGCCTGGAACGATGCCAATGCAACAGTGTATAGTAGGATGTCTTTGACTAGGACATGGGCAAAAGGTCTTAAAGGTTCCGCATCCTTTGAGATACTGAAGAACAGGGGATATGTAGTACATAACTGAATTTAGAGTCACAAGAGCTGGGTTCAAGTGCAAGCTCTGACATTTTACAGCTGTGTGACTTGGCAAGGCAATCAACCACTCTGAACTTCAATTTCCTTTTCTACGAAAGAAAGATAACGCCTATTTCACATGGTCATTCTAAAGAATAAATAATTTATGTGGAAGCATTTTATAAACTTTAAAACTACAAATGTAAGGTATTATTAAAATACCACAGTATGCTGCTATATGAACTGATTTTGGTCAATTTTTACTGTGGAAAATTTCCCAGACACATTTTTAGGACTGAATTTTTATTTTGATTGGACATTGGTAACTTTACCTCGACTACTTAAAAATTTGTTTAAAGATGTAAGTATTGAATGGCATTATTCCACTTCAATTTTGTTTGATTTCTCAGTATAAATTTGGCCAATAATATTTTCTGCTTTCAATGTTACAGAAAAAATAATCTTCTCCTTCTCCCACTGTGTGTGCATGTGTCTGTGTGTGTCCATAATTCTATAACAGTCATTACTCAATCCTTTCCAGATAAAAATTTGTTAAAAGTTTTCCTGACTAGATCAATCTTCAATTTCATCAAGAGGCCGGGCATGGTGGCTCACGCCTGTAATCCTAGCACTCTGGGAGGCCGAGGTGGGTGGATTGTTTGAGCTCAGGAGTTCAAGACCAGCCTGAGCAAGAGTGAGACCTTTTTGTTTAAGAATATCTTTGAAGTTATACTGGAATACGAAAAAAAATGAGATATTTGCTCTGAGATTCTATGAAACATCACCAATTTAAGTCCTGGTGTTCAACTTAAGTTAGGTTTGAATTAAATTTGAATAAATAACGAATACATTAAGTTCATACACTTGTAAGACAGTGGGATTTTATAGAACATACAATCTATTCTACATACATGACTTATAGGGCTACTCATTAATATTAAAATAAATAACATATAAGCAATTGAAAAATAATAAATCATACTGAAACTAAAAACAATATTAACTTATATTTATGATGAACTTCATCCTGATCTTTTCCATATTAGCACAGTAAGCATAATCTCTCATTCACTAGACGGGGGAAAAAAGAAGCAAAAGTCTAGAAGTAAGTATTAATTTAACAATTTAAATTAAAACCAAGTCTGGTAACTGAAATGGTTGCCATTAGAATTTTGCTATTTTCTGGATTCTGGATAAATTCATCATTTAGAAGCCCCTGGATAAATGTAAATGCCTCAGAGAAAAAAATGAAGTAGATTTTTTAAACACAAAACAGAAATCCCTTTATTAAACACTTTCTAATACAACAGTTTCTGAAATATTATCAACCAATGCCAGACATGAATCAAGAATAAATTAACAAGAAAGAACAATTTATATAACTGAAATGATAGTATGTACTAATTCAAATAGATTAGAAACTAAAATTCCTACATGTCAACAACTTTTGCTTTCAAACATACTACTAAAACACTGAGTATAAATAGGGTTTATGTAAGTACATCAAGGTGTCAATGTAATACTAAATATTTGGTAAAAAGTAACTTCCAAAACCTTACGTTCTAGGAATCAAGTGACAATCCAAAATAAAATATCAATCTAATACAACGTATAGGAATTTTAAAAATAAATAAGTTGAAATTTCAGTTTGTATTTTTATGTTAGAAATTATAAGGTGCTTTTGATTACTTCTTTGCTCTCAAATCAATCCAAAATTACTTAAACTTTCTGAAGTTATTTCAAAAACAGTATGTATTGATAATTTTTATAATTACTATTATTTTTAGTATTTAAGAAAATATATCCATTTTTCAAAAGAATATATTATGTGTCTTAAACAAATTTTATTCCCTATCACATTAGGTAATATTCAACTCCAGTGATAAAGGGCCAATAACGAGCTATATTGTGACATTAAATAACACTACTCCTAGCGCTCACATTAACTCTCTAACCAGTGACTAAATAGTGATAGCATCTAAATCATGCTCATAAAAAACCTACATTAACTTCCAAATTACTCTTTCTCGAATAAACCTTTATTTACAAAACAGTATTGAAGAATCATGCTCATTTTATAATACAAAGTATATGTATAAATAAAAGCAAATATCCATAATTTAATATATTTTAATACACACATCAAAATACAGCACAAATATCTTCATTAATTAATAATAACAATATAATGGAAATCTGTAGACAACATAAACTGTCTTTATAAAAAGATTTTCTTAAATCAACTCAATGTAAAAATTCTTTAAAAGAATTTAAGTTTTAGGACAAATTTTTTATTGCTGCAAATAATACAGTTTTAATTTTGAAATATGTAAACCTGACCAATTTGTATGACATTTATTTACTAAATAATCATAGTCTAGAAAGAGCTAAATGTTCATATGATTTTTCTAGATACGAGACATTAAAGTATATATAACATAAACAGAATTTGAAAATATACCAAAAGACCATTTTGCCTGTATTTGCTTTCAAAAATGACATAAATAGAATTTTTTTAAAATGTAGCACTATTTAGTACTTACTTAAACAAGACCTTTTGCCAGCTGTGCTTGCACCACCTGAACACAAATTGCCTCCTCGATGAATCAATTCAAGTTCCAAATTGGTTCTGTAAGTAATGCATTATAATATAGCTCAGTCATTAGGCTGAAGAGATTCTTTTTAATTTGCTTTATCAACATGTTTGAATCAACCTAAATAATAAAGTTCTTTAACTTTATTATTTGCAAAAGCACAGTTTATACGTATCAGTAATAATATTTTATCTGATATTTAGAAATTAAAAAACCAGTTTATCCACCCTTACTTGCATGTTCATATTCATACCTGCAAAAAATTGCACACATCACAGTTTAATTGTTGCAAAGTCCCAACTGTTGGCAAATGTTAAAAACTAGGCCTTAAGGAAAAAACCTGCAACATATTTCATAAACCTGCATGAGAATCTGATCAAAGAATTTGTACTCCCACTGTCAGGTACTGGGTAGGTGTTTACTGTCATATAAAACACAAGGGCATACCAATTTTTATATCAGAGAAATGGTTATCACTCTTTGGAGCTTAGATGGTATCTGGAAATCAATATTAAGAAACAAAAATCACTAATATTGAAGTGGCTATGAACAACACATATAATTAACAGCAGTCTCTTTTATGGACTTCTAAAACTATTAATACAATTTTATTAAAATACATTGTGTAACTACTGACATGGTTAAACATCAGTACTGTTCATACAGATCGGAAATTGGAAGGTATTTAGGAATGATTAGCTTATAGAATAGCAATAATTAATAAATAGACACTCCAAAAAGCAAACTAATGCAGAATCTAAAGATTTACTCAAAAACAGTAACAATAAAAGAACCAGTTATGCCAAAATAATAAAAAAAACTGAGATTATTTAAATTATATTTTACTTCAATAGTATTAATAAACTTAAACATTATCTTTTTTTATAACCAAAACTGAATTAACTAGTTTATATCCAACATATGCATTTGACACTAATAGTGAGATATCCTCCCCTTAAAAAAAGGCAGTTTCAAGCTTACTTTGTGCAAGTGAATTCAAGAAAGACTACTATCCCATTTCATTTAAAACAAACATTTTGAATTGGTTTGGTTGTATTTTGAACACAATGTTATGAAATTATATTTTCATATATTTACTCATAAATGCAAACTGTTAAAAATATTAATATTCCTAAGTCTGTACATTTGCCACCCATTTCTAAAGGAATGTTTTAATCCTCTCTACTGGGGGGGGGGGAAGCAATTTAACATTGATAATGTTCCTGTTCAGAGCTCCATCTGGTTGCTGCTGATAAGGGCATCTGTGTGACAAGGGAATTTTCCACCCTTCAGGAGATTTGCATTGCTCACTGAACTTCTAAAAACCTACCAGCAAGGAAGCAGGGACAAGGATTTCATATTAGTGGACAGAAAGCGAGCGGAGGCCAGCATGTGTTCCTTCATCAAGGGAATATAAATGAGATCAATATATTTTGTTTTCACAAATCTTCTGTTGCCTATCTGTAGAAAAAAATTAATGGCTATATTCTCTTATAAAAACTAGGATTTCCTAGATAGCACTTTTAAGAGAGCTAACCAGAAATATGAACAATTCTTATAAATGAATGTCAGAACCAGATGTCAACATTTCACCATATTTGCAAAGTTATTCATTAAAATATAAATATAAGAACAATTCTGTTTATTCAATCATCAGACATAAAACTTTAAAGGATGACAAACATATTATTAGGAATTTCATTTTAATGACGACTTGGGAAAAAAAGACTACTACATCTAATTATTTCAGATTATGGTTGGAAGATCTCCTGTACAACGTTGTTTGAGAGTTAAAAAACAAAAACTACATACCCAAAGGGTTAATGTGCAATAATATTTAGGATTTTAATTTTTTTTTTTATTTTTTCTTTTTTAGAAATGGGGTTTTGCTATGTTGCCCAGGCTGGATTTGAACTCCTGGGCTCAAGTGATCTTCCCACCTCAGCTTCCAGAGTAGCTGGGACTACAGGCACATGCCACCAGGCCCAGCAATATCTAAGATTTTAAAATTCAATATGGTCCTAATTCTTAAGTTTTCCTTATTTCATTTATATCAAAATTGAACCTTTGAGACTTGCTAGAGTATGTAACAAACAAATGGGTCATGTACCCCATGTCTATCTTGCCTCACTGTTGAATATCCCCATACAATATTCCCTAACATCACCCTCCTCAATGGCTGATGCAAAAATAAAGATACGCTGGAAGTGGGAGTTTTCTGAGTTTTTTGATCTTAAAGAAAAGTGGACTCTCCTATATTTTGGAAAACAAATACACTCAAATTAGTTTGAAATAAAAATAGAAGAGAAAATCTCTACATTTGAAAGAATGATGAGAAAAGACTGCTTAAAGCCTATCATAGAGGCCAGCTAGATAGATATATATATCCATATAAAAACCCCTCTAACTATTGCTTCAGCTCCTTCTTGCATGACCAAAGTCTGCTTTCCCCTCAACCCCTCTTTAGCACTAACTTCAATTTTTAGAGCTATAATTTGAAAAACAAACGTGTATATAAACACACAGAGACACTTAAATACACATTAGCATAGTGGAAAGAGCAAAGGCTCTAGAACAAGATCTGGGTTCAAGGCCTGCCTACTCTTACTGGCTGAGCAAGTTACTCAATTTCTCCAAGAAAAATTTCATCTTTATCCGTTCCACAGCCTATATTATACGAGTATATGTATATTATATGCAGTTCAAGTTCTGACTTCTCCAAGAAGCTTTCCTTCTTGGAGACAAGGACAGGAAAGAAGGACTTCTACATATTTATATTTCAATTCGCTCATTTTCCCCTTTGAAGTTCTACAGCACTTTTTCTGTATGACATTTTAAAAATCAAATTATATTATGTTTTATATAGATTGATGTATAATAGTTTTGTTTCTCCAACTAAACTGTAAATTCCTGGAGAGCAGGGACCATTTCATACATAGCTTCTAAATCCTCTATGGTACCTATGAAAGTACTAAAAAGAAAAAAAAAATTGATATGAAACCAATTATAAGATTCTGTTTAGTCCCTGAAGTTTCTTTTCTTTCTTTTGCTGGCCTTCTATTCCCTTACACCCAACAGTAAACCAAAAAAATAAAAAATAAAGAAAAAAACAAGGATTGTTTTAGGAAAGAATTTTTTCTTTTTAAAAGGATTCTTAATTTGGCATTTTAGTAGTCATTCCCCTTTGTTCTGAACACAATTAGTTTACAAAGTTTAGACTTATAATGTTTCATCATCTTTTCATTTCCATTTTCCTCACTATATATAGGCCAAGTGCTACCCACCAGCACCTCTAGGCTATATGTAACTTAGGTCCAAAAATCCTTAGAAAAAAATCAGTTACTGAAATACATGTCATTCATTGTTTCAAGAATGAAATAATGAATTGGTATTGAAGTGAAGAAAGCTTTCTTCTCCAAAATTAACTTTCATTTTCCATTTGAATGACTGATATTTGCAACAGAATAGAAATTTTAGAAATACATTAATCTTAAATGTAGTCATTTTGATTAATTTTAAAAAGATATTTCAACAGTTTCTTCTCTGCTGCCCTCAGAAAAACCTCCAAGGCTTTACCATGCAAATAAAATTAAAAGAAAAAAAGATATGTATTATCCTATCAAAAAAAATGAGCTTTAAAACCCAGCAGAAATACTTTGTTTTTAAATATCAAAAATGTAAGTTCCCTGAAGAACAAATAAATTACTTATTCAGGTGGCAGAAAATCAACTCTGAGAAACTAGGGTTGTATTCCACTCAAAATACCAATGCTAAATACAAATAAACTTGCAAGTTCTAATGACTTATATATTTAAGAATCACTGCATTTAATTCAAAAGTTAAATAATTCAAAGTAAGTTTATGGCTAAATATTTTACTTAAATATTTAAATATTGCTAAACATTTTAATGCTCACCTTTTAGGAATAAATATTTCTGTAATCATAAGTATTTATGAAATAAGCTGTATGACAGGCATAAAATAAAGACCTTGTTTCCTATTTTGAGAAAATTACATCCCATTAAAATAGGATATAACATATTTTTCCTTTGATTCATGTTTTATTCATTTTTGAGTCACCTTGCTTTTTGTTTTCTTTTTAATAACTAAGTAAAACTTACAGAGGGCATGCAACCTCACTGGGAGAACTAAATGTCCTAGGTAATTCCAACCAAAGGATAATAAGGCTTTTTAAGTTTTATTTACTTTCACTTTCAGAATTATTTTGTTGCTTTAGAGTTTATCATTAGGGATCAGAAATGGATGAGAGGAGGGAGTATATTTTCTGTTTCTCTACCTACATCCTTAATACAACATTTCACGTCTGTCCCTACTTCTGTGTCTCTATAAAACAGAAAAACCAAAATGTGTTGATCCAAAAGATCTCTCATGATCATTGCAAGTTGTATTCTATGTTATTTATATATTTAAATCAAGAAATAGGGATCTAAAACTTCCACTACATTATATTTAAATCAATTAATTGATTTATCTTACTATAGGAAAATTCCATGTACAGATCATTTCCATTTCAATCAGAATTTTCTAAGGTCAACACTAAGAAAATCAAAGGCATAATTACATGAGCAACATAAGTGTGTTTGTATGTGTGTGTACAAATACATAAAGGATGAATGAGTTATAGACCAAACTCTATTCAACCCAATCTTCTACAATGCTATAATCACAATATTGTACAGAAGTTCTGTAAAATCTTGAAACTCTGGCAAAACTGAACTATATTCAGTTTTCACATAAAGTATTTTTTATTGCCAAGAATGCAATAATTGGTAACTCTCCAGAAATAACATATTAACTGTCATGTCTTCCCCTAAAGCATTCTGGATAAACAAAATCAATAGTCTAAGAATATGCAGACTAGAAAGTTACTTTCCAATCTATCAGATGCTTTCACATCAACCCATGTCCAGCATTTGCATTCTCAGACCAAGGACTAATGTTCTTTATCTTAAGCTTTAATTTGCTTGCTTCAAGTTTTCTAAGACTGGTTCCATTTTTCTGTGTTCTAAATGCTACATATAGTTCATTTATTCTTTTGCTACCCTCTGCTCCAGGAATGCGGCAGAGAGAGCAGCCATGATGAACTGCATGCATAAGACAGCCTATAAAAGCCAAACACAGGAGAAACAAGAGAATAGGAATTGAAAAAACACTAACCTTTGTCTCAAGGGATCTTAATTCTAGTCCTACTCTGCCACTAACTTGCTGCATGACTTCAAGTCACATTATCTCTCTAAATCTTACCTATTACTGTACTACCCGGACAAACTATTATGAAGCATGCTTCCAGAGATACACAGGGGTCTATAATGTCATTTCAACAGAATGTGTTTACAAGCTTCTAATTGTGTCTGCTTCTCCCTTAGTCACTTCTTTTATGGTTCTCCATTAACTGAATTAAGTTCTCTAATAATTCCTATTTAGAGTTATTCCTTAGGTATTGAACACAATTAGACTAATCTTTCCTAATTTGAAAGCGGAGAAACATTTCTGTTTTTTTTGAGACCCCTAAGCACAAATAGAGGCTTAGAACATGACTGATCTCTTGCTTCCTCTCCCATATCTGACTTTCTAAACTACTTGTAGTCTTCTAGGATATTACTAGATCTTTCACTAGTTTAAAACAAACAAAATAAATTCTTCTACTTCTTACAGCTCTTATTTTTCTATAAATCAAAGCATTTAACATACTATAATGTTTTAGCTCTCAGTATTATCACTTTTTTTTTGAGACAGAGTCTCACTCTGTTACCCTGGCTAGAGTGAGTGCCGTGGCATCAGCCTAGCTCACAGCAACCTCACACTCCTGGGCTCAAGCGATCCTTCTGTCTCAGCCTCCCGAGCAGCTGGGACTACAGGCATGCGCCACCACGCCTGGCTAATTTTTTCTATATATATTTTTAGTTGTCCAGATAATTTCTTTCTATTTTTAGTAGAGATGGGGTCTCGCTCTTGCTCAGGCTGGTCTTGAACTCCTGAGCTCAAACGATCCGCCCGCCTCAGCCTCCCAGAGTGCTAAGATTACAGGCGTGAGCCACCACGCCCAGCCAGTATTATCACTTTTGACAAGGCTCCATATGTAATACTCACACGCTCTGAGGTACATATCTGCCCGAAAATATTAATAACATACTTTTCCCCACATGTCCTATAATGCTTAGTATAACACTTACCCAAATATTTCATTAAAATAAAAACTCTTTAGGAAATAAAGGAAAACTACACATTTATAGTCCCTCCTAGGAGATACTAAAACTAGACATAATTTCAACCAATATGAAAAATATGCACTCTTTCTTTAAATACATGTAAATGGCAATAAATAAAACAAAGATTTATTAAACAATAAAACCAACTATTAATAAGTAAATACAAAAGTATATACTATATATACCTACCTAGCAACAGAGTACATAAAGAGAAAATCATTGTCTGGTGAGCCCGGGGTCTTGCTATAGTCTCTATACTTCTTCTGAGTGGTATTTTTTATATCTTTCATTACAGATTCCATTTCTTTACTTAAGTTGGTTTCTGACTATAAAAAATGAAAACAAACATATAAAGTTCATATTCCTTTTAATAATTATCTAAAACTGGAATGTTTATCATATGAACATACTAGGAAATTAAAGTTAAGAAGTCAAAACAGGTATAACATTAACTATCTACTGTAAGCATACTTAGTACACAAAGATAAAACCAATCAAAAAATACTCTTGTATAAAACGATATTTTATTCTAATTCTATATTGTGATTGATAACACTATAATCCACCTATGAATTAACCACACAAACTATTCTAAACCAGTGAGTGGATGTCATTAAAATAATATTTTAGAACAAAGTTTCCATGTCTATAAAAACCCTGATTTTCATTTAAATTCATTTTTCAAAGAATAATATCAATGTCCCTTACTTTAAGCATATTTTAAACACACAAAAATTTAAATTAAAAAAAAAAAAAAGAAACCACAATCCTAAAATTAGTCTTCACTTGAGAAAGGCAATTGCCAGGTAATGAATCTTTCTAGGTTTAAAGTATGCACTTCTGTTTCAAAAGTCAAATATTCATAGTTTTCATACATTTACTACATAAACTAGGCACAGCTGTCACTTCTCTAAGAGACCATATCATAAATGTATAATGAAGGTGAAATAGTTTAAGAATTTAAACCAAATAAATCCCACTGGATGGGATAAAAGATGAGTTTACTTATACTAAACCCCACAGTAAAGTAGACTGACTTATGGTGAATGGTTCAATCAATTACACAGTATTTTATCTCTCTAATACATATACATGCAGTAAATAATACATGTGTGTATATGTGTGTAACTATATCTTAATCCTAATATACTTAATGGGTATATTTTTTAAATGATTAGATTGTGCTTTATATTGCAAGATATATATATATATATATATATATCATGTAAAGTGTGTTTGTTTTGCTTTGCTTTTAAATATTTCAACATCTTAAAAGGGCCTACCCGTATCTAAGCATATAGGAGTTCTTGATCTGGAACATGTATATTAAAACTATAACAATTTAGACTAAGGATATTGTCCTCAAGATATAGGGCTGAAAAGAAAAGTATAGCCTTTGATAATAATCTGTTCTACTACTTTCACTTAAGCACAGAGGAGAAAAACCTCTAAAAGCGATTTCTACTAAACGTATAAAGGTCCAGAGAAATTTATAAACTGAATGAAAATGAAAATGAAAGCTGAAAAGCAGAGTGGAGTTAACCAAGGTATTTCTGCCTTACACTGATGCTTACTGGGAAAGCTCCCGGCCGTCCCTGAAGCTCCTCCACTTCCTTTATGAGATCTTGTATGCTTCTGTTGCTAGGACGTTGCCAAAGGTTATTTTCCACATTGCTTCCAGGATAACAAGGAAGAACACTATTAGCAAACTGCCTGCAGAGGGGACATGTGAATTCTCCTTTGTCCACTGAGAAACCCTGAAGAACCTGGTCATTCTAAAAGATGAAATAAACATACAGATGTATGATACATACATTTACAGAAAACAAAAATTCTACTACCACATTTTATAGTAAATTAATGAACCATACAAAAAAAGACATCCTTAACATATGTCATAAAGAAATAAACAAAATCTCAAATCACTTCTTACATCATAGCAATTATGTAACACTTGCCCTCACCAATGAACTGCTTAAGTATCTCACTCTTCTCTCAGTATGAAACATTCAAATTATGATGCAATCAATCTGAAATGTGAATTTAAGATAAAAAATAGCTCAAAAAGCCGGCCACATTAAAGTGGATCACCTTCCTCTTACCCCAGCTATGTTTTCTTAATCTTGGCTGTTGAGTCAGTAGGTGACTATGGGAAGGATTATCCCAGTGCTCATGTTCTTTGATGTAGGATAGACAGCTTTTGAGAGTAAATTAAGCCTAAAAAAAGTGACACTTCTAAGATGTCTAACTGCTGAATATAACTGATTGGACAACTGATTTAGTACTCGTTTCATTATATCTTGCATGTCAAGTACTTTTACTAAAAGAACTGAATTCTATTTTTTAATTTTTGACATTAATTTTTAAAGTCCTTAAAAATGTAATGACATATCTTCTTCAAGTCTACAAACACTAAGCTCCTACTATGTGCCAAATGCTGTGCCAGGTGATGAAGAGTTAAGATACATTTTCTCTTCTTAAGGTACCTACAATTTTAAAGCAAAATTAGACAAATTATAATGTGATAAATGCAACAAAAGATAAGGCTTCCCAGAGTTGTGAGGTAAATTTTTAAAATATACATAGAGAGTGTACTAGAAGGTTAGAGCAAGGGTCCTGGTCACAGATGAATATTCTGTGATAAGCTTCCCTATAGCCTTAATTCCAAAGAACGCTATGTCCTCTTCCTTGTTGTAATTGAAACTAGGTTCTTTCCTGAAGCCTCCCCAGAAACCCTCTCAACTCATCCTCCCACATCCCTCACACCTCAGCATCCTCATCTCCAGTGCTGGCCTGAAATCACTACTCCTGCCTTCTCTTGTCATTGTGGCTCATGTCATTTAGCAATACCATTCTTTTCCTTCCTTTTCACTGTCACCCACTGCCTTTAACCACTGAAGACTTTGGTACCTAGATTAGTTTTCCTCATAACTCCAGTCCTGCCATCCTCCTACGCAACTTCAGTGTATATGTGAACAATGCTATACTTAGTCCGTCAGCTCCTTGAACTCATCAGCTCCTATGGCTTTGACCTCCACTCTACTCCAGCATCTGTCACCATGACCATACTCTTGTCCTGTAATGACCCAAAACTGTTCCATATATGAAAATATTAAATTCAAACATCTTACATTCTATCAACTCCTATCTCCTTTACTCCCTTCTTTTTCTCTCAGTTTATCAGGTCTTCTCTATACACCATGTCTACACACCACGATCCATTACTTCAAAAAGTCTTGGAAATACTACCCACTCCTCCTCCAAATGTACTTCCATCATTCATATCTAACAAAACCTTCATACAAAATTAACTCAATGTATGTCTTCTCTAATTCTGCACTCAAACTGAGTGCTGTCAGAGAAAAATGAAATGCCTTCTTGCTACAAACTGTTTCCAACCTCAAGTGAGCCCTGAATACTGCCTGGCAATCTTTCTCCAACATCCTAGGAAGCACTTTCTCACCCAATTCCAAAGTGGTTTTTCAAACCACCTCCTCACTTGTTAAGTCCATCAACTACAGCAACCCTGCTCCTTTTACTCTAAGAGTATGAGGCTACCACCTCCTACTTCAGAGAGAAGAGAGCCATGGCAGCTCCTTCAGCTTCCTGCCTTTTCCTACTTATAATTAATAAATCCCATCAGTCCTTCTATCCACTTTCTTCTTTTTACCCCCTTTGCTAATCTCTAACTAGCCTCCCAAACACACCACTGCATGACCAACGTGTATAATGTCTAATGTGAGACTTTGTTCCTTCCTCCCCCTAATGCTCCACCTATAGTCTCTCTCACCAAGTCCAGAAGACCATCCTTCTAAATATATTTCAAATATACAACCTCCTCCCCGTCTCCACTGCCATGATTAAGCCAAGCCACAATCACCTCTTACTTTCTAAATGATACCACCACATTCTTTCTTATCCCTTTGCAATCTCTTCTCCACACAACTGTCACAATGACTTTTTCTAGACATGTCATATCTCTGCTTAAGACTCTTTAATGGCTTTATCTAAAGAATCTATATAAAGTCCAAATTCTTTACATGGACCCCACAAGGCCCTTTACAATCTGACCCCTACTTACTTTTTCTGTCTCATTTCTCATCACTCAAGCACTTTACCCCATCAAATGTTCTGGCACCTGGCAGATGTTCCAGTAAGACTCAGTGTATATGCCATACCATTTAGCGCATATACTGCTACTGTTTATTTATTTGTTTATCTTATGTGATACATAGTAAACTCCTTGAGCAAAGGAAGTGTGCCTTATACCCTGCTGTAGCCCCAATGACTATCACACTATCTGGAACACTGCACACTCTGAATAAATATTTGTTGAATGAATGGTTGAATACAGGGATATGAAAATGCATAATGTGCTTAAGGAACTATTAATTAGATTATTAATGATGAATTGATGGAAGATAAAGCTAAAGCAATAGGCAAGGCCAGATTATGGAGTACCTGAATGCCATTCAGAGAAGATTGAACTTGATCCTAGCAGGAGGAAGCCAGCAAAGAATTTTTAAGCCAACTGTACATGTTATGAGATCGACATTTTACAAAGATAATGTAGTGAATAAATTAGACTTGGAGTGAGGAAATCAATAAGAAAGCAATTCCAATAGTCAAAATGGGAGATGAAGGCATACACAAAAGAGTAGCAATGGGAATAATAAAGGTAGAATAAAGTCAAGTGAGATTTAGAAGGCAGAATCAATAGAATTTTGGTAAGCGATTGAATGTGAGAGGTAAGGAATAGGAAAGAAAAAAGAGAAATTTACTCCTTTGGAGTTAGGAATCTGGGAATATAGTAGACTATGCTTTACAAAGTTGAGCTGAAGGAGACCTCTGCTACAGGGAAATGCAAGGTCAAGGGAAGGATTCAGAATGGGAGAGACCTGAGTATCTTTATGAGCTGAGAAGAAACAGAGGAGGCAGAAAACTGAAAATATAGACAAAAAAGAGGTTACCTACTGCTGGATCGAGACCCCTGAAGTGTTGGGTAGAAAGGAATATTAGAGCACAGAGAGAAAAGTTATTCCTGGACAGTAGTAGGAATTATATTCTCAAAGAATACTATCTCAAAGAGTAGAAAAGAAAGGATTAATCGGGATGTGGAATCATTTATCAGGGAACAAAAAAGCAAGCTGGGAAGCTATGGGAGTATGTGACAGGAGATACCGTTTTTTTGGTGACTTGGGAAGAGGAAAGGGATCTTGGGATTTAGCGGAAGAGTCTAGGATGGGACAGGCAAGGATCTGGAATAGCTGCTGAGGAGAACAGGAGAGGGAACTGATCAAAGACAGGTAAATGAATGGACAGGTAATATTTACAGCCCAAGAACCTAGTCTAAGTTACTGTTATAGGAAACCACAAATTTGTGATGATAACAGTTCATTTGGTTTTACGATTTTTCCAGCAGGGCTAGCTGCCTAGGTCTAAAACCAAAGGAGGTAGATTAAATGAGACTGACAGTAAGAGCAGAATGGGCACAGTACTGGAAAGTCAGGCTAGGAAAGAGCTAACACACTAGGAAAAACGCAAAGGGGTTAAAGGACTAGAGATCTAGAGATCCTGATGCCAGAGGCAAAACACATTAATGAGAGTGCAAATAAGAGAATGTGAAGAATAATCACATAATAAGATGATATGGTAGGTTATTAAAGCTTAATATTTTAGAGCTAGAGTAGCGAAATCTAAACCGCAGCCATGGAAGTCAGTTGCTAACGTGAAGTAAAAAAATGAAAATCCCTCAAGTTGAAGAGAAACAGTGAGACTGTATAATTCATATGTGATCAAAATCACTCAACATGATGAGCTAGAATTGGAATATATATATTGTAAAAAGATTAATTCCTGGAAAGATAGATACTACTTAAAAATTTTTTCAGTCAACTTACCCGTAATGATTCCATATAAGATTTATGACAATCTATATGTAATGTGTGGCCACAGGTTTGTACATAAACACCTCCTTCCCAGCCAATTGATACTGCTAAGAGACACGAACTCTTCAAAAACAAAAGATAAATACATTTAATTTTAAAGAAATATAAACATATTTAAATATATCCATATAAACCTCTGCATGATTTCATATTGTTATATTAATATGGAGTTTCTATATTTGTGATATAAATTAACACCCAACTAGACAGCCCTAAGGTAGTATCTTTAAAATTGGAACACCATGAAGTTTTAGCTCCCAAATATCTATGCTTATAATGAAAGAAAGTAAATATTATGAACTAGCATTTCTTCACCACACAAAATATAAGCTCTCAATATTATACTATAGTCTATGTAAACTATACTACTGTTGATTATTTTACCTGTTCCATATGGTACTTAATCTCTCTGTGATATATGACATTAACAATTTCCTTCTTAAAATGATTACTTCCCTCTTGGTTTTCCTCCTATCTCTGTTTTTCTTAGGCCTCCTTCCAAGATTCTTCTTTCTTTACCTGCCCCTTCAATGCTTATATTCCTAAAGGTTCTATTCTCAGTGCTACTCTCTTCTCATTAAAACTACTCTCTCTAGTGATTTAATTAGCCATCTCAACTACTCTGCAAGCCTGGATCTTTCGCATGAGTGTTTGATAACAAGTACTCAGCTGCGAACCAGAAATCTCCAGTTTAATGTTCCTCAGGTAACATAAAATCAATGTGTCAAAAATTAGTCATCTTCTCCATGAATCTTTTTCTTCTTCTAGGTTTAAAAATTTCACAATCTATTTAGTCATTAAGTAAGAGTCATTCTGTATCACACCCTTACCGTTATACCATAATCTTAGTTCCCAAACTATATGGATTCTATCTCCTAAATAACTCGTGATTTTGACCTCTCCTCTTTATTCCCTCTGTAACATTCAAGTTTATGTTGCCTGGAGTGGGGAGAGGGGTTCTTAAAACAGTTTCTTAACTGGTCTCCTTTACTCCAATTTCTTCTCTCCATGATGTACCTATCTAGTCACAAGAACCACCCAAAATACATGCCTAAGTATTTACAAGGGTTTAACATAATATACAATAAAGAAGGAACTCAGACTATGTAAACAAACTACATACGCTTTGGAATTTGTTTTACAAGTTAATTGTTTTCATCTCCCCTTTCTCTTCCATCTTCTGCTGTTCTTTCTCTGCTAATTCCACCCCTCTCAACCTATACATAGGTGTAGACTTTTCCTCCTAAAATCTCTTTCTTGGAATTTTCATCATTTGGCTTCTATCAAACGTCATTTAGATCTGAATTTGAATTCACCCTCTAGAATCTACAGTTAATAGATGGGCAGGCCAGAGCAATATGAGGCACAAGATCTAACATGAGTGACGGGAGATAATGAAATACTTGAGAGCCATCAAATAAAAATGTTCTTATATGCTTAAAAAACTGATAAACCTTTAACTTTTATGTTGCAAAGAAATTTATACATTATAAGATGACCAAATAATCTTTAAATGATAGCAAATGAAGTTCCAATATGAAATCCAAGACTCTTCATGAGTATCTGAAATTTGAAAATCTGTATTACATGTACAAAATGACTTTCCAACAGATTTAAAGATGTGCAACAGCACAAATCAAATATTCACAGCAGGAGAGCAAGCTTCTACTGTTATAAATCAGAAAAACAACAGGAGGCCCGCTCATTTCTGTTTTACGTTTTGGAGCTGCTTGAAATAGAAGCAGATTTTGGTGTTCGATCATTTTAGAATGGCTGGTAGTCAGTTAATAAACAAGCTGCTTCCTCTGGCACTGTACTATACAATGTAATTAACCTTTGTTTTTAATAAAAGCAGTAAGCTTTTAAAACTGAACATAATGTTATTTGTCTACTGTTAGATATTTTATTTGAGTTTGCTAGAGTCTAAAAATGTAGTAAAATACTAATATGAGATTAATTTTTTAGGGTAACTTCAACTATGTGCCTGCTCACCACTGTGCTAAGTGTTTAACACTGAAACTTTATAATCTCAATATTTATTAAAACTTACACACATATACATATATATACATTTAAGAAAGACTAATATAAACAACTAAGATAATTATTTATCTAATTTTTGGTGAATCAGTGAATGATGGTGGTAGTAGTGGTGGTGGGTTAAATCAAGGAATGAACATTTGCAAGGTGAAATTTGTAAGGAACACCTACCACTACACAGTTTGAACACAAACAGTAACAAACATGCAGGCTCGTTTTTGTACCAGATCGTTTATTGTTCATGCATTTGTATGATTATCGTACACTTTAAGAATTTTTATTTTATAATAATTGTATTCATTAATTTGTTCATTTTTCAACCCACTTACTCAAGTTCAGGGTCATGGGTGGCCAGAGACTATCCCAGCAGCTCAGGGTGCAAGGTGGGAACTAACCCTGGACAGGATACCATTTCATTGCAGGTTGCACTGACACACACACCCCCACACTCACTCATAGGGGAACAATTCAGACACGTCAATTAACCTAACGTCAGTATCTTTGAGATGTGGGAGGAAACGAGCATACCCAGAGAAAACCCACGCAGACATGGGGAGAACCAGCAAACTTCATACAGACAGTGGCCCTAGTCAAGAAAGGATTTTTTTTCCAATCGACGTTATGAACAAAACAATATCAAAGGATACAACATTATTCAAGGATCTGCTGTACTCATCATTCCACTGAACTGAATATGTATACCACATAATAAACAACATTTAAAACAAAGGTTTCACATTTATTACCTGAAATTTTTATTCATTAACAGTTTTCCATTTCCTTACTATGCGCATATTAATTTTTTTTCTAATAAGCTTCTAGACTTAAAACAAGAATGCCATTTTGGTAGAAGAAAAACATAAAACTCAGGAGGGAAGTAATTATCAACTTTACAGACAAAAATACTATTCGACAACGACAGTACTTACATCCTTAAAATAACGCTGTAATAATGAAAGCCTCACATCATGAACTGCTGCACATGTATCCCAAGGGTAAATTTGCTCCTCTTCAGTGATTGGCAACTTTTTAGGCTCAACATTGTCACGGCACTGCCCCAAAACTACATTAACAACAGAGATAAAAATCTCATTAAAAAACAAAACTTAACCAATACAGGCTTGATTCACCAAGAAAAGCTGAGTTATTTACCACAAGCTACAGTAACATTTTAGTGTTAGAATATTTTTAAAGACCCCTCAAAAAAGTGGTATTCTAGTTTTCTTCTGCAGAGTAAATAAAACTTCAAATATGCCAATATTTATTTTTAAAAACAACGCTAAAATATGAGTATGGACTCATCATGATGGATGGATAGATGGTTTCCTAAGTCTGTCCACTGAAAAAGCCTAGAAGTTACAACCCCCCAGTATCAACAAACTTAATTTCTAAATATCTTATTTCTCAGTAAAAGGAAGCAGAAATCTTTGGAGAAAGAGCTCAGTCTCAGGTTAGGGAAAAGTAAAAGGGAAGCCTGGAATTGTGTGTGACAAAGAACAAGGAAGTGTTCAAACATTCAGGAGGCAATTTCACAAGGACCTGAAGGAGTTTTGACTGGGCAAATTTGAGAAAATTTGAATATCGGAAAGAATAATGATGGTGACAGATAATACACTCATTGATTCAAGCAAAGAACATCAAATAAAGGGATAGAAGGGTAAATGGGTAGGCTCTCAATGTGTTCTCTCATAGATTACTTACCACCTTAACCAAGTGACCAAACTTGCCATCACCAATAATGGGACAATTTAACAAAATGAGCCTCCTAATGTGATGCCACAGAAAGGAACATCACCTATTAATACCCTTGCCAAAAATGTTTAACTTGAATCTAACAATAAGGAAATGATCACACGAATCCAGATTCTGAGATATTCCATGGAACAACAGACCCAGATTCTGAAATTTTATAAAGGGACTAGAGAAACTGTTCTAAATTAAAGGAGACTAACAAGAAACTAAAACTTAAAAACTAAAAGCAATACATAATCTTTGACTGGATCCTAGATCAAGAAAAGAAATATCCGGAAAAAAAATTTTAAAAAAGAAAAGAAATATCTGCTATAAAAACATAACTGACTCTCTCCATAAAAAAAAATAAGTGAGGTGATAAATATGTTAATTAGCTTGACTTAATCTTTCCACAATGTATATGCATCAAAACATCACATTGTACCCCACAAATATATACAATTATTATTTGTCAATAACCCAAAAAATTATTAATAATTGGGAGAATTCAAATACAGTCAGATTATTAGATGTTATTAATATTAAATTTCTTGGGTATGCTAATGGTACCGTAGTTATGTAAAAGAATATCCTCATAGGAGATATATATGGAACTATTTAGGGATAAAATGTCATGATATCTACATGGGAAGAACTGCTCTTAGGAAAGGGAGTATCGGGTGCATTGCTTTGGGTCTTGAGTTTCGGAGGGATTTGTAGCAGCAGCAAAAGAAATGAGAAACAGAAGCAGTGGATGCTAGTAGCTAAAATATAATGATCATGATGTATAATCCTCTTAATATGCCACTACATTCAGTTTGCTAGAATTTTCTTAAGGATTTTAGCATCTATATTCATATGAGATATTAGTTTATCATATTCTTTTCTTGTGATATCTCTATCTGGCTTTGGTACCCAGGTAACGCTAGCCTTATACAATGCGTTAGGGAGCATACCCTCCTCTTTCTTTTTTGGATGAGTTTGAGAAGTATTGGTGTTAATTCTTTAAATGATTCATAGAATTCACCTGTGAAGCCATCCGGTCCTGCAATTTTCTTTGTTGAGAGTTTTCTTATTACTGATTCAATCTCTTATTATAAATATGTATCAAATTTTCTGTTTCTTCTTCAGTCAATTTTTGGCAGTTCGTGTGTTTCTAGGAAATCATCCATTTAATCTAGGTCATCTAATTTTTGGCATAAAGTATTCACAGTATTCTCTTATAATCTTTTTATTTCTATAAGGTCTATCGTAATGTCCCCACCTTCATTTCCGGTTTTAGTTATTTGCATTATCTCTTTTTTCCTTGGTCAGTCTAGCTAAAGGTTTTGTCACTTTTGTTGATATTTTCAAGGAACCAACTTTTGGTTTTGCTGATTCTTTTTTGTTTATCTCTGCTCCAATCCATATTATTTCTTTCCTTCTTCAAGCTTTAGGGTTAGCTTGTTCTTTTTGCAGTTCCTTGAAGTCTAAAGTTAGGTTATTGATTTGGGAACCTTCTTTTTAATGTACAAATTTGCAGCTGTAAATTTCCCTCCTTTCACAGCATCCCATAGGCTTTGGTAATGTGTTTTCATTTTCATTTATCTCAAAGTATTTTCTTATTTCACTTGTGATTTATTCTTTGACATTGGTTGTTTACGAATATGTTGTTTAATTTCCACATACTTGTGCGTTTTCCAGCTTTCCTTCTGTTACTGATTTCTAGATTCATTCCACTATGGCAGAGAAGATTTTTTGGATAATTTCAATCTTTTAAAAAAAAAACTTACATTAGACCACAGAGAAAAGACAGAAACGAATTCCATTCACCCCACATTTTGACCTTCAGTTGTCTAAATTTACATATTTTTATATTACCTTTTAACAAGTTGCTGTAGCTATTATTGTTTTTGACAGATTTGTCTTTTGGGCTTCAAACTACACTCATGACTGGATTGCACACCACAGTTACAGTATTAGAATATTCTAGGTTTGTCTGCACACTTAATTTTATCAGGAAGTTTTATATTCTCAAATGTTTTTCTTAAAATTTTTTGCACAGTACTGTTCTTTTCTTTCAGACTGAGGAGCTCCCTTTAACATTTCTTATAAGATGCATCTGGTGGTGGTGCACTGTCTCAGCTTTAATTTGTGTGGGGAAGACAATATCTCCTTCACATTTGAAGACAGTATTCTTGGATGATAGTTTTTGTTTTTTTTTTATTCTAGCACTTTGAAAATGTTGTTCCACTCCCTCCCCTGGTCTACATGGTTTGCCTTGAGAAGTCTGTTGCCAGATGAATTGGAGCTCCATTATATGTTATTTGCTTCTTTTCTCTTGCTGCTTTTAGGATTCTCTCTTTATCCTTGACTTCTGAGACTTTGCTTATCATATGGGTCAGAGTAGTCTTATTTGGGTCAAATCTGTTTTGTGTTCTCTAACCTTCCTGTACCTGGATATTCATATCTTTCTCAAGTTTTAGAAAGTTTTCTGGGTTTGGGGTTTTCCCTTTTTTAATAAACTTTCTATGCCTTGCTATTGCTCAACTCCCTCTTAAACACCAATAATTCTTAGATTTGGTCTTTTGAGGTAATTTTTTATATCCTATAGGTGATCTTCATTGATTTTCACTTTTTTCTTTTTTGAGACAGTCTCACTCTGTTGCCTGGGCTACAGTGCCATGGCATCAGCCTAGCTCACAGCAACCTCAAACTCCTGGGCTCAAGCAATCCTACTGTCTCAGTCTCCCGAGTAGCTGGGACCACAGGCACGCGCCACCATGCCCGGCTAATTTTTTCTACATATATTTTTAGCTGTCCAGTTAATTTCTTTCCATTTTTTTTGGTAGAGACGGGGTCTCGCTCTTGCTCAGGCTGGTCTCGAACTCCTGAGCTTAGAACAATCCGCCCGCCTCGGCCTCTCAGAGTGCTAGGATTACAGGCGTGAGCCACCTCGCCCGGCCTTTTCTTTTTTCTTGTCTAAGGTGTTTTCAAATAGTTCGTCTCTGACCTCAATGATTCTTTCCTCTGCTTGATCCATTCTTCTGTTGAGAGCTTCTAATGAATTTTTCAGTTCAGTGAATGTATTTCTCAGTTCTAAGATTTGTTTCATTTCTTTCGATCTATTTGTTAAATTTCTCTGATAAATTTCTGAATTACTTTTCTGTGTGATCTTGGAGATCACTGAGTTTCCTTATAAGTACTATTTTGAATAATGGGTCAAACGGTTCCTGTATCGCTGTCTCATTAGTGTCAGTGACTGGTTCCTTGATTTGTCATTATGGGGAAATCATGGTTCCCTGTTTGCTGTTGTTTCTTGTGAATGTATATCTATGCCTTTGAATGGAAGGTTTAGTATTTATTCTAGTGTTCTCTGGCTTGTTTAGGGTTTTATTGAATATATTTACTTAGAGGTTCTTCATTGATAGGTCACTGCCTCCTTTTCGGCTCCAGGTGGCAACTTAAGCCCAGATTCAGTTCACCTCAGCTCTAGTAAACAATGACAGCACTTCCCTTTCTGAATGGGGGAGCTTCCAAAGTGGAATCCCAGCAGTATGGGAAGGCTGGCTAGGGGTTTGTGCCGAGGGGACCTATAGGACAAAGCTCCTCCAGTGTGGTACTGCTGAACAGCCACTCTGATTTGGCATCTCCTTTAACTAAGTTACAGAGCAGAGTTTCCAGGGATAGGGATGGTAGTTCCACCTCTCCACTTTGTCTCTGCCTGTCCTCAGAGATATTTCTCCCTTAACACACTTGCAATGCTTCCCATGGCTTAAGGCAGGGATAGGTCTGTTGCCAGGGAATTCAACATGGTGGGGAAGCTGGTTGTCCACCTCAATCCCAATTTTTCCAGCGTAGAAACAGTGAGTTGGAAAATTTTCCACACACTTGGTGCCCAGCCGAATGGGTGGAGGGGCATCACGGATATGAAAGTCCAATTAATTCTCTTACTGTTTGCTCAGAATTTTTTCACTTCTCTTTGGCTCCAGGAACCATCTCATCTTAACATCTGAATTCTAGGATATTTCTGGTGATAGTCTTGCCACTATATATTTGTTTTTGTTTTTCTGTTGGGTAGTGAAGCCAGCTTACTTCAACACCACTCTTTTGGAACCCAAAGTCCCAATGGGTCTATCTGGTTTCTCTGCTTGTAAAATTTTTAATTTAAAGTCTATTTTGTCTCATATTGATATAGGCATCCCAGCTCTTTTTTGGTTACTATTTGTATGGAATATCTTCCCATCCTTTCCCTTTCAACTTATTTTTGTCTTTAGATCTAAAGTGGACAGTATATAATTGGATCACTTCTTTTTATCCATTCTGTCAATCTCTGCCATTTACCTGGGCAATTTAATGCATTTATATTTCCAGTAATTACTGGGGTTTTTTTGTTGTTTTTTTTTTTTTTTTTTTTTTGAGACAGAGTCTCACTCTGTTGCCCAGGTGAGTGCCATGGTATCAGCCTAGCTCACAGCAAACTCAAACTCCCGAGCTGAAGCAATTCTCCTGGCTCAGCCTCCCAAGTAGCTGGGACTACAGGCATGCACCACCATGCTTGGCTAATTTTTTCTATTTTTAGTAGAGAAGAGGTCTTGCTCTTGCTCAGGCTGGTCTCGAACTCCAGAGCTCAAGCTATCCTCCCACCTTGGCCTCCCAGAGTGCTAGGATTACAGGAGTGAGCCATTGTACCCGGTCTCTCAGTAATTACTGTTAAGGAAGAACTTAATTCTACCATTGTGCTATTTGTTTTCTATATGTTCCTAATTCATCCATTGCTGCCTTCTTTTGTAATTAATTGAATTTTACAGCATATCATTTGGATTCCCTTCTGGTTTCTTTTATTTGCCTGTGTGTGTGTGTTTGTGTGTGAGTTTTTTTCATAGTGGTTACTCCAGGGATAACAATTAGCATCTTCACTTTATAACAGTCAAGTTTGAATTAATATCTAGTTAGTTTCAGCAATATACAAAAACTCTTTTCCTTTACAATTCCATTACCTTGATCCTGTGCTTTGTTTTTATCTCAATGTCTGCACTTTTCCATAGACAATAACATTAATATTTGGTTTAAAAATTTATACCTGTAGCTCTTTCCAGATTTACTTTCTTCTTATTACATATGATTTTTAAAGCACTATGAAGACTTTAACTGAATTTTTTGAAGCTTTGCAAAGATTGCAGGGATCAGTGAAATGGAGAGAGAGCATAAATATTGTATTATTCTCCTATGGAGAACTGAAGCTCCCCAAATGAGTATTGTTTACAACAGGCATTTTGAGCAATGGCGAAACAACATATAAATTGATATCTTTACATGCAGATAAAATTTCTATAAAGGCCCTTAATTTAAGCAGTTTTTGAAGGGTTCCTAATCAAAAGTCTGTAATTCAGTACAAGCCAAATATTAGAATAAAGGGACAAAGTATGGGATTTTTCTTTAATGCATGGTTTTAAGAAAAGGCCAGTAACAAAACAGTGGATATAAATAAGATCTAGAGCAATAAGCAGACCTGTCATCCAGATTTTGGTCTCTAAATACCATTTCCCACTAAATGGAAATAATACTTCTTAGAGAAATGTCTGATTTCAGGGCAGGAAATATGTAAGATGAATTTAGTACAACTTGCCATACCAGTAAATGTAGGAAGTTTCAAGGCTACTATACTAGTTTTGTTTCATAAAAACTCAGGAGACAACTTGAAGAAGCACCTCTCAATGAACAAAGATGGAAATGTGTGCATCAACAAGAGATTAACTGCAACAGATTTCATAATGATACATAAAACTACTAATTAATTATCTTTAGAAAATGATTTTCAAAAACCCACTATCTCAATAATTTTGAGCACTCATAAATAAACGGAAAGAATACACTATTTATCCTGCCTTTCCTGTACAATTTGTGCCTCAGAGTAACCAAAAATAGTTAATGAGGTAAAATTTCTTTTGTAGAAGTATTTTAGCTAACAAAGAAAACATGAAAGAGATTTGTAATTTCTAATGAACTGATGGATCTAGGAAATAATCATCATTTGTTACTAGTATCACAAACAGAAAATAGAGGGGACACAGAGGAACACATTAAATTTCACAGGGATGCATTCATAAAAATCCAAACTGCTCTTCAATGATCCAATTTCTTAAAAAAGTATAATGTAAGGGAACAAAGGGTGGAAGCGGAGGGAGAGATGACAGGGGAACCTATCAATTCAAGGACCACAAGAGGACTCTGTAACTATAAATGAATTAATTAAACAAATAAGAGACAATAGGAGGATTTTAAACACTGACTCAGTATTTGATGATATCCAGGAATTTATTTAGGAATGACTATGGTTATGTTTAAGAAACTATACCTTTCTTTTTAACAGAAACACTGAAATATTTATAGATGAAATGATGTCTGAAATCTGCTTCAACATAATTCTAGGAGGCGGAAACAAACGAAATAAGATTAGCCACAAATTAATCATTGTTGAAGATGGAAGGGGACATGGTGGTTCATTTTACCAGAATAGTCTCTCTAATATATGGTTAAAATTTTCTATATTCAAATCTCAAAATAAGAAGGCAGAAGTAAAGAGAGATAAAGGGGGAAACTGTCAATGGGTAGACAAAGCTCAGAAGGAAATGAAGGAAACAGTCAGAGATTTCACCTGCTATAGTTCCCAGTTAAAATCACTCTTGAGATTACTGTTTTTTTTTT